TATTTATTGATATCTGAATTTTCATATATATAAATAAAATAAATTCTTACATTTAAAAACATATGTATAAAATTTAAAATTTATATTTATTGAAATCAATAATTATAATATTCAAACCTAAATATCATATATCTGAACGTAAAAGAAATAAAAGTAATATTTATTGATATCTGAATTTGTAGCATATATTAACAAAGAATAATAAAGGATCCCTAGTGCAGTTATTGTCGTGTTATGCATGTCGTATATTAATTAAACGAAAGGAAAAAGAATATATGAGGTAGGAATAGTATCTAACCTAATCTAATCCTGAAAAGTTTGAATCAAATAATATATTCCAACAATTTTATTTATTTTTTAAATGTGCAACTATCCTAATCCTGTTGTAAATATGGGGCACCTGATTGGCCAATTTTCCATCACTATTTCTTATTAATAAATTAAACTTGCAAATTGTTGGTGGATTTTGATGGGCAGTGGCAGCCACCGGAACCAAATCACGCGTATCTGGAATGATCTATGCATTTTCATTATTTTATCTCTTATTTTTTTATACATTTTAATTTACGAGTAATTTTGTCAACCGATTACATATGTTAAATATACGAGTAATTAGTTACAAAATTTTTACTGAAATTATATATTGGTTTAATCTTTATTTATTTATCTAATACCACCCAATGAATGCTGGTTGATTTTATTACATGGATTTTTGTATAATCATTATTGGGACATTCATTTTGAAGTTTTAGGGCATTGTTGGTTAATCGGAAGCAATTATGATTCAAATTGCCTCAATGTCGGCTTGGCCAAATAATTAATATACATTCTTTACATAATCTAATTAAATAATTGATATAAGTATACACAATTTAAAAAAATGAAACAATTAATGATATAACTAAGGTGTTGGTATGTTTTATTATTGAAGTAAAAAAAGTCCATAAGTTTAGGATAATTAAATGAGTAAGCAACCAGTTGGCATATTAAATTGTAATATTTGTTTAGCAAATTGAACCAAACAGGTAAATACAGAATCTAACTGACGAAATCCACAACATCATTCAAAGACAAATTTTTATATGTAAATTTTAATGGTTTTGTCCTAACTAGTAGGTGATGTGGTAATTAAGCATGCTCTAAGTAAAAGGCCAAAATAGATACTGTTTAGGGGAATTTTTATATGTAATGGGATGTGTAATAATTCAAGTAAAATTATTTGTTCAATCAGTTATAAAAATTTATTAAATAAAATGGTGAATTTTTGTATCGTCCTTTTAATTTGAATTTTTTTATTCAAATAAAAAATTATTGTTATTATTATTTGAAGTTATTAGTACACGAAATAATCACAACTACAAATAATATATAGTTAAAAATATTAAAATTAAAATTAAAAATTGTAAAATATAATTAAACTGATAGTCATAATATATTCGGAGACAAGTTACACATCGTAATATTTAAATTAACTTAAATCTAAAGATGATTCTTCTAAGAACTTATTGACAAAAATGTTTTTAATATATATATATATATTATAATAAGTAAAAATAGATGGTTGAGATTGACTCCTTATTTATTTCTCGGTGAATATTATTTCATTTCCTACTATTAATCTCAGTAATCTATTTTTATTATCAAACAATCCTAAATCTGTGTAAACTAAAAGAGTTTTATATTGAGAAACATGATACTATCCTCTCTGCATATGTACACAAGTGATAAGTTTTTGAGAATTATGAATTGAATTAGAATAGTTTCTTTGAGTGAATATACAGAGTAATTATAAATAACGTACAAAATTCACAAGATGGTGAGAGGGGAAAAAAGCTAAACCACATAATAGTTTAACGATAGAGCATTTCAACATAACACAGTAACATGAAAGTTATCGCTATTAAGCCAATTAATTAATTAATGGGTTGTAGATGCTCGTTTTGTCCGGGGATTGCATTCGAGTTTTATTTGAGTCTATGTATTAGTTATCTATACATGTTCATATTATTAATTACACGGGTTAATTATTTAGTCATGCGTGCGGATATATATATTATTAAGGGTATAAACAATTATGATTATATACATATAAATAAATATATAGTAAACAATTAAGTTGAATATATATATATATATAACATTAATTTAAAATGCATTAAAAATTTTATTTTATTTTATTTCTCTGTTACAGGCCCAAAAATTACAAGGCTACATGACCCAACGGTGAAGGCCTAGCTGAAACAAGCCAACGTATTGGAAACCAATGGAACTAGGGTTTTGAAAGAGAGTTCCAGTCATCGCCAAATCTCGACCCTCAAATGAAAGATGGGTCTAACGGCCCAGATTTGATTCGATCTAGAGTTTCACACCCAAATGAGAACCCACTAGCGTCGCCAAGAGATATGAACCGTCAGATCTGTTCCCAATCCAATCTTCCAGATCTGCTCAGAGGATTAGAGTTTGGAAAAAGCCCCAAAGCATCTCCCGTAGCTGATTTTCGGCTGTTAGATCTTACTTTAATGATCTAACGACCTAGCTTTGCCCAAGGGCATCATACCGTTTAGATTCACGAGTGCATCACACTCGCGCCTCTCCTGCTGCCCCACGCGCATGTGCCTCAACCGTCTCCACTTGAGAACCTATGTTGCCACCATTACTTTGTTGAATCCTTAGACTATTAAAGTTACAAATTTGTCCTCCGACTATAGTGTGTTGTCTTGTTGAGTCCCCTAAATATTAGAAGTTATAAAATAGTCCCCCGACTATAGGGCACAGCTTTGTTAGGACATTCGACTATTAAAAGTTACAAAATGATCACTCGACTATTCATTTGTTCAAAACTCATCCCTTTTCGTTAAAAAATTGGTGATAGTCCGAGCTGGACTTTAACCTGTTGACTAAGATATGATAAAATCTAGAATCGTTTGAGTTGTATTCTGTGTATCGACTCTTTGTTTACATTATGTCGTTGAGCCATTGCTTGAAACATTATGTTGTCGAGCCAGTGATCGAAAGTAATGGTGGTTCCATTATACATCATTAAAATATGATTTTATCTTATCACAACCAGTAGGTTAAAGTCCAGTTCAGATGATCATTATTTTTTTAACAGAAAATGACAAGTTTAGAACATATGAATAGCAAATTTACTATTTTGTAACTTTTAATAGTCGGAGACTCAACAAAGCAATGCCCTATAGTTGGGGGGCCACTTGTGTACTTTACCCTTAATTAATAGGGTAAACTACCTATTTGGTCACCCATCTATTAATTATTTTCTATTTTGGTCACTCAACTATTTTTTTTTCAAAATCATATTTAACATTATGTTTTGATTTTGTTTTGGTCACTCGTCATTAATTTTTATTACGATGATGTTGATGTTACATTTTTTAATTAATTTTTCAATGTTGATATGACATTATTTTATAGTGCTACATCAACATCACGGTTAAAAAATTATCGTTAGGTGACCAAACGTAACGTTGAGTATGATTTTAAAATAATAATAGGTGGGTGACCAAATAAGTAGTTTACCCTAATTAATATTGATGTTCATTCCTTAATTTTAAGTTCATACAATACATCATTGTGGTCATCAGTTGGAAAATTGGGGGTGGCTCGAAGATTTATTTGGTTAAATCATATATTAATAATCCTAATATTAGTTATTAACAGTTCAACAATATTTATGCTTCTTTTTCTGTATTTAACAAATGAAAAAGTTTTGCTCTAATTAGTTGGATAACTAAGAACACGAGTGGAAGAAGCAAGATTTGGTGCAAAAGATGAACTGTCGTACAATTGGCCCTTGCCCCAACAGCCAACCCATATTTAAAATATTGCCCCAAATTAAACATCATTGGTCTAATTATGACCTTTTTATTTTTTTAAAAATGTTTAGCATGTGCTAATGACGTGATTAGTTGTTAATTATTCACTTTTGTTATATTTGATTTCCAATCAAAAGTCATACTTTTTCATGTAGATCCCTTAAGCATACTCTAGGGGACCACTTTTTTCTTTTCACTTTTGAGCCTATTAATTTAATTTCAAGGTTTTATTTATTTGTTGCGTTTGCACTTTGCATTCCAATAATCTATTTTGTCTTAATTAATTTATTTGTTTGATAAAAATATCTTTGATTTGACATTGGTTAGTTAACTTTATAAAATTATAAAATAATCTCATAATTTGGTCGTTACTCCTTACTGATTAAGCGATTAATTTTATTGACAAACAAATGAAAGTATTTTTCTTATGAATTTGACTTGTTTATATAAAATCCAGTTAATTGTATCGTATGTTTCTAAACTATGATCTCCAATTTAAATTGGTTCTTAAATTTTTGAATATTCAAATTTTATCCTCAAAATACGACTCTCATTTTAAATTAGTCTTTAAACTTTTGAATATTCCTATTTCATCTCCAAAATGACCCTCATTTTAAATTGGTCTACAAACTTTTAAATCTTCCAATTTAATTCTCAAATTTATCCAAATATATAATTAGTTTCAACCATAGTTTAACCTAAATTTTATTTTTTAAAACATATAATAATATAACTTGGCCTATCGATTTTATTAACAAGGGATGTGATTAGTATATATAGGGACGAGCATGTGACCCGAACCTGACGGGTTCCGACGCGATCGGGTCGGGTTTTTTAAAGGTGATGTTTGGGTCGGGTCGGATTCGGGTTTAGGGTTAAAATACTCGATCCGACCCGACCCGAAAAAGAAATATAATTTATCTTATATATTTAGGAATAATCACAATAATACCCATCTATATATTATTTTTTTCAATTAAATCACTATTTTTATTGAATAAAAATAATATTTTTATTATTTCGGGTCGGGTCTGGTTGGGTCGAATTTTATCTCAAAAACCGGGTCGATTTCGGATCGGGTGAAGAGTATATATTTTCGGGTCGGTGAAGGATGTAAAATTTTTAGGTCAGGTCGAGTTAGCCCAAACCCGACCCATGCCCATCTCTTAGTGGGTCACCATAGAATCAAAAAGTACTGGACACCATGGCAACACTGATGAGCTCAACATGCTTCTTCTTCCAATCCTTCAGGTTTCAGATACGATTAATATCATTTTTATTTGACCAAATCAAAATATAATTTCAATTTAAAACCCTTTTTCTTTCTTTTGAATTTCCAGGCATACGATGTTGATTTTTATATCAACGGCCATGACCATTGCTTGGAGCATATTAGCAGCAGTGAGAGGTACTAACACTATTTGATCTTATAATATATAGATGTTTATTGTAAAATTTTTGAAAAGGATAATCATTAAAATTGATTATCCACCAAAAAAAATGTAGTCGGATTCAGTTCTTAACAAGTGGAGGTAGATCAGACGCATGGAAAGGAGACATCAATCCATGGAATCCAGGAGAAATGAAATTCTATTATGATGGTCAAGGCTTCATGTTAGTTGAAATGATCACATGGTGTTGGTATCAAATTCTATGATGTTTTTGGCAATGAATTGCACAAATGGGGCACTTCCAAGCACAGGAAATGTGTACTTTAGCTATAATTAGGGATAGACTTAGATATATTGGAGCAATCGTTATCTGAAATTTTCAAATTATCATATATTTTAGATATTATTTTTTTATATTTTCTATTAATAATCTATTTTCGTTTCCTAAAATTTTATAGATTCTATTTGTATTAGGGGTGTTATCGAAGACTGATATTGCTTGGTTTATATATGTCTAAACTTAATAGTTTTTTAATTGTAGTGTCTATTGAGCGAGGATGCCCATATGTTTATGTAACATATATGTCTAACTTGTTTGTATTTGTTTTATTTATATGTTAAAGATAAAACAAGGGTTGATTGCGAAGGGGAAGTTTGACCTAAAAGGATTTATGCTGCCATAGATTCAAGGGATGAACTTTATAATGTTAAACACTTTTATAAAGCAGCATACATGATCAATTATTTTTAAGAACTCTAAGGTTAGTTATAAGGTGTTGGTATAATAGTTTGACATAATAAAAAAATAATTGTATAAATTATATACTTTTTATCTGCTTCAAATATATAAAATATTTTTTTTTATTAATATGGGTATTTAACATTTTCTTTATCATAATAAACTTTTTAAAATTATTTTTTATAAATTTTAAGATATTGTTATTATTAAAAAAATATCGTATTTATTTAAAATCTCAAAGAAAAAATAAATATCTAAAATACTCTAAAAGAAATATAAAACTAAAAGAATTATTTTTTATTAAGCTAAATTAATTATAAAGTAATATATGCTCGAAGTACTATTAATTATTTGACAATGAACGTTCAATCACTCTTACAATCACTAATGTTCAAACTCATAACCTCTAGAAACAACAAATATTTTTTAAACCATTTAGATAAGTTGATTCATGCACTAATAGTCATTCAAATAAATATTAAAAAATAGTTTTTATACCTTTTTCATAATTTAAGTAACTAGTTACAATTTTTCGCAATATCAACCTTTTCCACATTTCCATTTCAGGACTGAACAGTCAACGGATGACCCCCTATATAAACAAAAATCTACACCTTAAACTGATTGTATAGCAGATCTATTAGGATCACTGCCTTTCCCAGAATCTGTTCAGAAGAAAAATGGCCGCTAATTTCATGACGCAATCATCTCTGCTTCAATCAAATCCTTCACTTTTTGCTAAAACCCTTCAAAACCCATCTCTGTCTCGCCTCTCCAAGCTCTCTCCTTTACCGAGTCTCTTTTTTTCTCTCCATCTTTTTTTGGGTTTTTTTGGTAACAGAGTATAAAAAGAATGATCTTTTTATCTGTTTTATTTTGCTTTGCAGGTTTTTGTTTTTTGCCCAAAAAGAGAACTGGAGCTGTTGGAAAACTATCATCGGGATCGGCAGTATCCGACTCAAAATCTTCAATTTTGGAAGACGATAAAAACAGCAAGAGTCACATTATCGTCATTGACAATTATGATAGTTTCACCTACAATCTTTGCCAGGTTTGATTTCCTATTCAAATTTTTGTAATTTTCTTTTGACCCCGATTTTTTGTTTTCCCTAAGTTGTACTTACTTGATTCTGAGTTGCTATAGCGTACAAATCTTTAGGGAAATATACTTAGATTGGTAGGGAATACTTTTATTTTTTTATCGAATATTGTTAGCGAAGACTGAAGTGTTGATCGTTTAATTGAACTTACAAGTATAATAGGAAGAAAATGTACTGTATGTATATGGTGTAGAAAAGGTTTCTTTTACTATTGATAATTTGTTGTTCTTGGTATATAATTCAAGTCCTTTTCCAAGGGTTTTGCATTTTAAATGAGGTGCTTCAATCATAGCTATACTAAAAATGTTGTAAGTTCATTGTGGCTAATTGTCAACCGAAAGCAAATATGTTTTGTGGGTATCAACATGAAACATGATGTGTTGAAAGTGATTCCTTCTAAATGGTCCTATACTGTGGTGATTCGAATTGGTATCTTTTATGGTGGAGGTCCAGTTTGATGGTCTTGACCGGTGAAAGACAATATTCAATAGCTAGTGTCGTTCATCCCATCTTTTTCTTCCTCATTTTAAGAAGACACTGTTCATTTATTGTCACCTTATGAGTAATAAGAGTTACATTACAGAATTTTAGGAGCTTGAAATGTTGCATATACGATATTTTTGAAAAATTTTGGTTTTCTTTCTCTTAGCTCTTTCTAAGTTGTATCCTTGATTAAGAATGGAATATCCTCAAAGCTTACCGATAATGTTATAGTATATGGGAGAGCTTGGATGTCACTTTGAGGTTTATCGAAATGACGAGTTGACTGTAGAAGAGTTGAAAAGGTAAGAACTAGCTTTTTACTGGTGTAATATATTTTTTAATCCACTCATGTAACATGAGAGTTACTTGGATGGTGAATGATTATTCTCTAAGTTATATTCTCGATATATTCGATCCAATAAATGACACTCTTCTTGTTATGTTTGTAGGAAAAATCCAAGGGGAGTGCTTATCTCCCCTGGTCCAGGTAAGAGTTCACTCTATATTTTAAAACTATAACTAAATGAAACATAAGAATCTGTTATGTTTAAGCATGGTATATTTTTTATTTTGTCCTTAATATAGGAGCACCCCAAGATTCCGGAATATCATTGCAAACAGTTTTGGAACTTGGACCCATTGTACCTTTATTTGGTGTTTGTATGGGTTTGCAGTGCATTGGTGAGGCTTTTGGAGGTGAGTCCTCTAGGTTACCTTTTGTAACTCTTGTTTTTGTTAATGTTTCTATGGATCTAAATATTGTTGCAAAATGCAGGAAAGATAGTCCGTTCTCCCTATGGCGTAATGCACGGAAAAAGTTCTCCCGTGTATTATGATGAGAAGGGGGAAGATGGGTTATTCGCTGGATTATCAAAGTACTAATTGATTCTTCTAATGTGATTCCCAATTTGAAATTCTTGAACTATGCTTCAATTATGTGTTATCTGTAGTCTAGCTATCACCTTATTCATATGTACTTTCATCTTCCTTTATGCTACTATCCTTATGCTTATTGCATTTTCAAGTATTTCCAAATTTTTTTCATTAATTAAACCCCAATTATCAGCAATGCTTACTATTATTTTGCTTTTCCCAGCCCTTTCAATGCTGGAAGATATCATAGTCTTGTGATTGACAAGGACAGTTTTCCCGAGGAAGCACTTGAGGTTACCGCTTGGACAGAAGATGGACTGATTATGGCTGCTCGGCACAAAGTCTATAAGCATATTCAGGTAAAGTTTCGTCCATTTTTACTCAGTAATGTATTAGTTCAATGATTTGTTTGCTATGCTAGAACTGATTTCCTCGGATATGTTACCTATGAATCACAAAGAAAAGTCCTGCTAGTTTGTGCCATCTAAAACCGTGAAAGTTATGTGTTTAATTCTCCTTAAATAAGTCGAAAGAGTTATTTATATAACTCGCTTTTATTCGGCTTTGTCTGTAGTATATGGTTCTTTGCCAAGTTTATACTCTGCCAAATTAATTTTACTTTCATTAACACTTTGTTCTGAAACTTTAGGGCGTACAATTCCATCCGGAGAGCATCATAACTTCCGAAGGCAAAACAATCGTTCGTAATTTCATCAAACTGGTAGAGAGAAAAGAGGCTGCTGAATCCCAGAATTAGAGGTCATGTACTACACAAAATTCCTTCAGACATCAGTATGGGACTGTAAGTTGCCGATGCATCCTTTCTTTGACGATCATGTATTCGCGTAGGACAGTGAATCCTTCGATGGCTCATTTCGGAATACGTATCAGATTATGATACTAGACACAGATACATTAAGAAAAATGAAAAGTTTGGATACGTATAGACGAAACCGAATTTGCCCTTCCCTAATAAAACCCCATTTGAATTCGTTTTCAATGTTAGCAAATGCAGAAAAGGGAAGTGAAATGTAGGTTTCCATCAACTTTGCACATGATTTTATGTGGGTTGCTTTTGGATAACTATGAAACTCATAATATTTTCTATTTCCTTTTCCTCTGAGTTTGCAATTCCAGTTCAGAATCGGACATAGAAATTATTATTATTATTTGTGAAAGCCAAAGCCTTTGTTGTTTTCTTTGTGGATGAATATGCAATACAGCCTTTCATTCAATTGAAGAGTCAATATATACAGTTTTCTTATAAAAGCAAAAGCTAAATATAAGTTATTCAAAAGACAATGTTGTATTTTTCTTTTTCCAAAATAAACACTCTTAAGTATAAATTATATCAATGACTCTACTTGCTGAATTTTAAATTTTTTAAATGTTTGAATAAATTTCTCTCTCATTATTGAAGTTTAAAAATTATATTATTAACATTATTGATTTATAACGAAATGGTCACTTCGTTGTCAGTCCTCGATAAATAAATAATGTGACACGTTAACAAAAGTACATTATGTTCTTAACTTTATTGAATTATAATGAAATAATCATTTCATTGTTAGTATTTATTAAATCATTTTTTATTAGTTTGAGGTTGTTACAAAAGAGTATTTATTCATATTTTTTTAATCAATTAATAATAAATACATACATATTACAGATGAAACTGTTAGAATTCAAAACTTTTAAGGAAAATAACATTATCTTTACGTATTGAATAGACAATGTTGTACTATTTGAATTTGACCCAAGTTGTAAATAATTATAGTGCTGGTACGATTAACCTTATGTATAGATGAAAAATAATAGAAGAAAAGGAAGTTGAGGAAACTAAAGAAAATAAATGAAGTATCTATCTTCGGTTTGGATTGCTAAAACTAATTAAAGGAATAAATTATAATATTTCTTATTTATAATTAAAATATAATAATAAATATGAAAATCACAAATATTTCTTATTTATAATTAAAATATAATATTTTCGGCAGAAAAAAAAACATTTTAGGTAGTACTCTACCAGAAATGTTAAAAAATATTAACATTTCCGATAACACATTTTCTTAGCCTTATATTAGGTTGTCTTTCCTTAGACATCTCAGAATCCAACATACCTTGTGTTTGCCTTAATTAAATCTTTTAACTCCCATTACTAAATATCTCTTTTTTATTAGGTTTTACCTCATTAATTGAAATTAGAAACTAGAATTTTAAAATTTATTGAGTAGCTTTAATAATAAAAGTAAAATATCATTTTTTAAATATATATATATATATATATATATATATATATATATATATATCAATTAGTTGAGAAAAATTTTGAACAATATTATCTTATAAATTCATATATTGATACAAGATTTTATGTTAAGGGGACGACCTTATAAAATTTTAAGGTAGGATAAACTTATAAAACTTTAAGAGACGAAAACAAATTATCAATAAAAATATAAAGAAAAAATTTTAAATATAAATTTTTTTAAAAATTTAAGGGTTTGATGACCCCCAACCGCTCCCCTCGATATATCCCTACGTATAATCACCTCATATATATTTTTTAAAAGAAGTGAAGTTTTATTGACAGTACATAGTCCTTTTTAGAAACGTTAAGTTGTTTCTTTAACTATATTATTGTAATATTTTACTTTTTAATGTTGTAACTTGTGTCTCAAAAATCAGTGTTTATACTTGAACGAAAATATGAGATCAAAACAAAAGAACTGAACTCCCAACTGCCCAAATTGCTGCCTTCTGAGACTTGTACCCCTCAAAGAGTGCCTTTTTCAACTTTCAAACTTTGAAATCCTACAATAAATTATATTCACGGACTTGGATTTTCCCATCCCCAGAAATAGAATCACATTTCTTCACCCAAAAACGTTGAAGGTCCAAACCTGCGGCCAAGGCTCCCCCAACCCCACTTGTCCAATCTAAAGTCACCTTGTCCAACTACCTTTTTGACATTATGTCTCAATTTCACAAAATTGAATTTCATATATATTCATTCATACACACATACACATATGACATAACCCAAAACTTTTTCCATTGAAAATGCATCAATGTTTGATTTTGCAGATGAAAATATATATCAGAAATTAAAAGTTCTTATTCAATCCATGAAGGTGTTTAAGAGGTACATAAATCATCGTCAAATTCAACACCAATGATAAAAATGGAACTATACATACACATTCCCACATCGACTAAACATATATTAAATAAGAAACAGCTGTCACTGTTGAGATAAATATTCATTGCTTCTCCTCTCTATACACAAAACTGACCCCCAAACTGAGTGGAAAAGGAGAGGAAAATAATGCCCCAAATGTAATCAAATAATGGTCTGTTTTATTCATTTTAGATGGTATCGGCCTCGGACCGGCTAGATCGGCTTTGATGGTGTCGTTTCCCGTGGTGACGCCTGCCTCCTCCGAATGTGACTGGATCGAACTTTTTGAGTCTTTCAACTTCTTTGGGATTGATCACACACTCCGTCGGTGGAACTTTGTATCTGGTTTGATCATAGCAGTAGGCGTATGTCATGTGCTTCCTCCTAAAGCTATCCATCTTGCTTCTCTGTGATGGGGTGATGGTAGCAGAAAGTTCCAAACTTTGAGAGGTGGTGTCACACTTCTTGGACGAGAATTCGATGGGATCCACGGCACAACCGTGGAGGATCAGGTCGGAGAATTCGGCAACGTAAGGAGCGTATTTGTAATTGACTCTATATTTGCCACCATTAGTAGCCCAATCAGATCCATCCCATATTGTAGCATACAAGGACATTGGCTTAGAAGGAAAGTCTCCGCCCATTGCAGCTGTTCTTTTGAACTCTCTAATGGGGATATTGTCAACATAAAATCTGCAAATAAAGCAATAACCACAATCAAAAAACACAGAAACAGAAACTTGGGACAACATTAAACTCATCACCAAAGTTTTTTTTTTTGCTTATGCTTACATGATTTGAGAATCAGTCCAGAGGATACTGTATTGATGGAAATCATCAGCAGGGTCGAACCAAAGATTGTATCTTTCTTCTCTGCCAACACTGGTGCTTCCATTGCCGTAAATATTTGTCTGAATCCTCCAATCTTTGCCTCTGATGTTACCCAAGAACTCGAAATCTATTTCGTCATGGTTCTTCTCGAATATATCACCATTTGACATCTGCAGTCAAAAATATTAATGAGGAGAATCTTATATTAAAAGGTAAAATTATCTGGTTTCTGTTCTTATTCAATTTGTTTATGGTGACTATATGGATGTTGATCAGATTCCTAAACAAAAATCTAAAAAAATGAACTTAAAAAAATCTTAAAGCAATGGATTATTATCAATACTTTCGAATAAATAAATGGGAGTTAACAGAAGTAACCATATGATTGAGCTTCAAACAACCTTATAATACAATTAATTACGAGGTAAAAAGGTTTAATCTTGAACAAAGATGAACTCACATAGAAAGCAACCACAACACCAGCTGTATAATCGGCGGGCAACTTTATTGAAGCACTGAAGTAACCATGCAAGTAAAGGTCTTGAGACACAAATCCAGACCCTGTTTTACACCATAAACAAAGAAATGAAATCTTCTTTCATTTCAATAAAACAAGGAAAAAGAAACCCAGAAATATATAAATCAGAGACCGGCAGGGAAAAAAAAAAGCAAACAAACCTGTTCTCTCATTCAAAGACAAATGAACAGCTTTACCGTCTCTATGGAGAACTAGATTATCATCCCCAAACAACTGACTATACCCTTCATCAAATGAAAGAATTGGGAGCCTTTTTCCAAACCCAGAAACAAAAACAGAAAGCAAACTCAAAACCAACAACAAATAACCCATAGAAGTTTGTATTTTTGTTATTTTTTTTGGATATATGGTTGTATTTTTGTTGTTCTATTACCCTGAGTTTATATAAGAGAAAGAGAAGTGTACGAAGGAAGAAGATGAAGAGATTAAAAAAATTGTGGAGAAAGAAAGAAGAAAGGAATAATCTCTCTACAGCTACGGTAGAGACGATAGAGAGAACCGGAAAAGGGCTTATTGAAATGAGAAGAAAGCGCAGGTCATTGGCGAGTGAGAAGGGGGTAGTATTATTGAGCCGTTCATATGCAGACAGGCTTTTAATTTATTTATTTTCTCCAAATTATTTTATTATATTATTCCCTCCTCCTCTTTTAATTCTTTTTTTCAATTTTCTTTCATCATCATGTTTCTTCCCTAATTCCATCATTTTCTATCATATTCTACACCTATTTCATTTTAAATTATTATTTTCTTGGAAATATGTTATAATATTCATGGGTTTTTTTCTTTGGTAAAGTGCATAGAGGTTATTGAATTATGCATGAATAATCATTTTCATCATTAAATTTTTAAAATTTATAAAATAAGCATTAAATTTATTAAGATTACAAAATTATCATTAAATATAATTTAATATATAAAAATAGTATTATTTTATCTTTTTTGTTTTTCCTATAATATAATATGTAAACCTAATGCAACTAAAATGATTTTATATTAACATCAATTGATTAAAAGAAAAAATAAATAAATTTGTTGCTATTTCTCTCTCTTTCTTATTCTATTTTCTTTCATTTAAAATCTCTTTCCAAGACCCACCTATCACATTAGCAGAGACTAATTTTATATTCAATGGTGTATAAAATTTTTCCACTTGCATACTTTGATAAGGAAGATGAAAACGATGATTGATTCCACTGTTTTATTTGAATTTCAACTGATTAGCAAGAGAAAATATTTATTTGTATGGTTTAAAATAATTAAAGAAAAGAAAAGATTTTTAATATATATTATAGATAAATTTCATGGTTGAATTCAATGAAGAAAATACATAAAATCAAATTAAAAAAATCATAGTTAATTTTACTTGCTTTTTTCCTTTTAAAATAAGCTTTTTCATAATATGTTTATTCTTCTAAATGGAGTATTAATTAATTAATGAAGTCTACATGTTAAGTAACTATTTTTAATATTTTTATTTAAAAATTATATAAAAATTATCTTTAATTTATGTTTATTAAGAAGTATTTGGATTAAAGATGTGGAATCTGATTCAATGTGTTTTTAATTTTTTATTTAATTAAAGTATTAGTGATGATAAACTTCTTAAATACAATTATTTGGCCACTTTATCCCTTCCTTAAGGCTTCTAAATAAAACTTATTCGATAAGCTTGAAAAAAAAGTTGAAAATTTGAAGTCTTGAAGGAGGGATAAAGTTAGGAATGGGCACGGGACCGGAAGTCGACTGGTTTCGATTCGGGTCGGGTTTTTTTAAAAAATCGGGTTCGGGTCGATTTTTTAAAGATGATATTCGAGTCATGTCAGGTTCAGGTTTATGGTGAAAATATTCGACCCAACCCTAAAATAATATAATTTTATCTTATATATTTAAGAATAATTATAATAATATCCCTCTATATATTATTTTTTCAATAAAATCACTGTTTTTATTGAAATAAAAAAAATATTTTTATTATTTCGGATCGGGTCGAGATCAAATCGGGTAGAATGTATATATTTTTTCGTGTTAGATTGAGTCAGATTGACCGAAACCCGACTTAAACCTGACCCATGCCCATAATGCCCAAAATAAATAATAATAATACCAGAGAAAGTGTGTAAATCATTAGGGCTAAAATAATGATTATCAAGACTTTTTTTTTGGATAATTGATTATTAAGGCTTTTGGGGGGCAAAAAGAGGTTCTCCTTTTAGTATTTAAATAAATATTTATATATTAACAGATAAATAAATGAAACGGGCCTCCATGCCGCTTGATAAACCGCCCCGTTTCACATGATCCCAAAACTACCCTTCCGACGGCCCACGTATTTACTACTTTGCCCTAAACAATTGACATTTCGTTGGATTAGGGCGGCGGCACAGCGACGCGTATTCCCGATCAAATCCAACGGTTGAAAAATTGTTTTCGGCAATGTAAGAAAAGAAACAAAAGCGAATGCATTTAGTGTACAGCTGGCAATGGATTGTTTTCTTAACTAACTCCCCCACCATTCCACTAATCTAAGTGTGACACCCGTCAAATAAATTTCTTATCTCAATAAATAAATAAATAAAAATACGTAATAAAGAGAAATAAGAGTCGATTCTACAGAGACTTAGAAAATTATAAATTTCTGTTTGATTTATTTATGTCAGGCGTGAAACAGTAAAAATGTAGGGAATTTTGGTAAAAAGATATTAAAATAGTAAAAACGAGTAAATAAATTAAATTAATTAAATTTAAAATAAGATGATGAAAATTGTGAATAAATATGGTAAAAATCGCCTCAAGCTTCGCTTTGACTCAATTTTCTTATGATCATCGAATAAGATTTTCTCTTCGGGATTCACGTCGGTTACTTTGTCTACAAGGGCTATCCCGGTGACTCTATCTTGTATACCGAATACCCAAGGCAATCTTTGATTCCGGCTTCGACAATTGATTCTAACGACATCAATTGTGGTATATCAATTACCGTTTAAGTTCGTGGCGTCCGACTCGGATTGTTGCTTCTATAATCGTCAATTCCGATCTCAATTCTCTCTTGGAGAAACTATCTCGCCAAGTGTGTTCCCAGGAAGCCGAATTGATTTCTATAAACCGAATCTTCCTCCCACACATTTAATCGCAACAACCTCTTGACCAAAGTCAATCTTTGATTTTGAAAACTGTTTTGATTTTGAAAAATAAGCGCAGAGATTGAGAGAGATATTCCGAAGATATTAAGGGACCATTTCAATTCTCCTGTTGGAATTGAATCATCATGACAGCTCTCAGCTTTTGAAAAGTTTAGCTAAGCATGACAAAATTCATACTTAGCATATTAAAAACAAGTTTGAAAATAAAGAAAAATAAAAAGAACTTGAAAAGAAAAAAGAGAAAACTTTTATAAAAACTAGAGAGAAAAGAAGAATGTATTCCGAATGATGAGTTTAGGCTTTCTCCAAGTGGGTATTTATAGCCTCTCAAATCCTAAGAGATAAACAAAGAAAATAAATAAAATAATCCTAAAAGATAATTGTTTTTTAATTTAAATTCAAACTTAAACTAGTCTCCTAATGCAACTCTGCTCGTCAATCTTCCAGAAGGCGTGCGGAGGAAGTCTTCTAGAAACCATCGCTGACTGGAACTTCTAGAAACTGCCACATCAGACCGCGTCATGCCCAGAGTCGTGCCCATGTCTCCAGCCGTGACCAAATAAAAAAAATGCAAAATTCGCCTGTTTTGTCACAAATTCTAGAAAGCAATGACCTGTACAAAAATAAGTATAACACGACCAATTCAGCAACAATAATTCCACAAAATCGAAGAAATAACAATAAAAGATTAACGATTTTGAACACTCATCAAATTCCCCCTCACTTATCTCATGCTTGTCCTCAAGTATGATTAATCAAACTAGTCAAAAATTTCATTTATCGTTTCTTTGTCAAGTTTCACATTCAAGGAAGCAAGGTAGAGACCACAATAACTATTCAAGTCAAGAAATCAATCAATTGAACATCACCAATTTGAGCAAGTCAAGTGCAATTATAATATCCATTCATTCATTAATCTCAATGCTCATAACTCAACACCTTACCGGGATTCACTCAAACCACTCAATATGTTTGGGGTAAAAAAACTCTCAATGTCAGAATTGACACGGTATTACCATAAGCCTGCAAGTAAATCAAATCTCCACTACTAATAATAACAAAATGCATAAATCAAAGGGTCTTTTATTGGTTGTAACGGGGCTTAGGTAAAGGTGGGAAAAGGCTAAAAATATGGCTAAAAATTCAAGGTAAGGAACTAACAAATAATAATCTCAACTCCATCAAAACATTAAGCACATCAAGATAAAAAGACGACATATCAAACAACAAATTTCTTGTCGAAATGTTTTTTTTCTTTTTCACACTTTTGTTGTTTTGTTTTCCATTTTTTTCTTTCATGTCTTTTTTTTCTCTCTTTTTCTTTCGAACAACTTTTTTTCCCGAACTCCTTTTTTTCTTCTTTCTTTCATTCAACATTTTTTTTCGATGGAGAATACAACGGTAAAATTATTCATTTACCCTGAAAAAGGTAGGAAAGAGGGATAAAATAAAAAAGGCTCGGGTTTATGAATATGGTGAAAAAAAAGAAACGGGAATAGGCTCAAAAGTGGTTAGCTAAGGGGAAAATGCATAAGTAGGCTTATTAGTGGGGAAACGGAATGGTTAATCCTAAGGTGCCCAAATCATCTTTAAGCATTATGGTTATGTGTAATCTTGACAGTATTTAACATGCAGGTTCTAGAATACCAATGCCAAATTCAACACACTCAATCAAACAAAATAAGAGCGAAAATGATATGCTTGTAAAGGCTCAAATCTCACCAAATTGTTTCATGCATTGAGCTAATCACATTTCAACCAACAAAGTCATGGAATATCACAAAAACACCAACTTATCACAATTCATGCTATTCGCTATCAAGAACAGCCTAACTTAAATAATCATGTGTTCCCAAACAAACATAGCATTCTAAAACTTTTCAACAAGACAAAGACAATCAATGAAATTTTTGACAAATCCAACCAACACATACTAGCATCGAAACATAAAGATAATCAAAGGGAAATTCAATCCTATACTCTACTCCCCCTCACTTAAAGCGTTTTACCTCAAAACGAAAATTAAAGTACAAGAGAAAAAAAATTAGAGTACTCCCCGGATTTCATGTCGGTTTTGCGTGCGCACCATCGTGGAGTAGAGAGGAGCGAGTGGCGTGGAAACTCGTTAGCAAAGGCGTAGGGGTTCGGTGATGACATCAGCGGTGAGGAGAAGAAGGGGCAACGGTTT